ATAAGGTGTGCGACTAATTTCACTTGACTCATGACCTTATTATTGCCCTCTGCCACTGTACCAAAGACCAGAAACTTTTACTGTAGAAATATTGAGAAATATTGAGGTAAAGTAGCCATTTTGGTCCAAAATACCTCCAAAATAGTCAAAACATGTCACTTTTGATCTACTGTAACTTTTTACTGTAAAAAGGTGTGCGACTAATTTCACTGGATTCATGACGTCATGATTGTCCTCTACCACTGTACCAAAGACCAGACACTTTTACTGTAGAAATATTGAGAAATATTGATTTAAAGTAGCCATTTTGGTCCAAAATAGCCTAAAAATGGTCAAAACATGTCACATTTGATCTACTGTAACTTTTCACTGTAAAAAGGTGTGCAACTGATTTCACTGGATTCATGACCTCAACATTGCCTTCTACCACTGTACCAAAGACCAGACACTTTTACTGTAGAAATATTGAGAAATATTGAGGTAAAGTAGCCATTTTGGTCCAAAATACCTCCAAAATAGTCAAAACATGTCACTTTTGATCTACTGTAACTTTTTACTGTAAAAAGGTGTGCGACTAATTTCACTGGATTCACGACATCATGATTGCCCTCTACCACTGTACCAAAGACCAGAAACTTTTACTGTAGAAATATTGATTTAAAGCAGCCATTTTGGTCCAAAATAGCCTAAAAATTGTCAAAACATGTCACTTTTGATCTGCTGTAACTTATTACTGTAAAAAGGTGTGCAACTAATTTCACTGGATTCATGACCTCAAGATTGTCCTCTACCACTGTACCACTGTACCCCCACCCCCCCCCCCCCCCCCCCCCCGCCGACGACCACCACACATTGCCTTCAAACCTGTGGGAAACACTGTCATTATTAATTACAAAAACTACCTATCAAAGTGTATTAATCCTACAAAACTTTCATTTGGCCCTCAGTGTTTATATAGTCTAGATTAGGCTCTTAACTTTATTCTGCAAAAAACTGCTTGTTTTTACCGTTCTTGAGCAATCTGTCATATAATATAATATATAGTTCAATCCAAAATACAGCTCTCGTCCAGACTCGAATGCGGGTCACTATGTTACGAGTGCTGCATCTTAACCACAAGACTACTGTGACACTCAATGCAGACTCTGCCTCAGTAAGGGCTTTTATCTGTTGATGAAGATTAATCTGCCGACTCGTCACTGCAGGTAGCTGTTGTAGCCGTTATTATAATAGATCCATGGTTGTAGCCTGTACAAGTCGACCGCTTGTGTCTAATCAGTCGGCCCTCGAGGGCCCCCTGCGGGTTTGGGGGCCCCAGGCAGCTGCCTGCCTTGGCACGGGACGCCTCTGCGCGAGGTGCAAGCGATCGCAGGACAGGAAGACAAGAAACATGAAAAAGCCTGGGGCCGTATGCCTAAAGATTCTGAGAGAGAGCTCCTAACTTCACCTAAAAACTCCAAACTAGTCTTAGCTAGTTATTCCAGAACATTCTCAGAGCAAGACAAAAAACTCCTATCTTAGTGAGAAGACGTGACCGACCCCGTTGCTATAGTATGAGTCATCATTTCAGATGCTGTGATGGGTTGATCCTAAAAGTTTGAGAGAACTTACTTTTGGTGATAATGGGTAAAAATAAGGACCCTCAAATGAATAAACTTAATCATGGAATATAATCTTAGGAAGACTGTGTTGTTGTAAATAATATTCTACATAAAAGATAGAGATAATCAATGTAAAATGAATGCTGCCTGTGTGCTGCCTGCAGGTCGCAGCTGGGCCTGCAAACAGCTCCATTAACAGGTGTAGGGATAGAGCAGGACAGTTTGATTATTTCAAATGTTTGCTTACATTTTAAAAGAACATTTTGATATTTAAAACCCATTCAACATCTCTTCTTGCCGTGTTTATTTTTTTTCCATTTCCACTCTGTCAGAACAGAGGTTGTTGTCTGAAACATTTTATATAAGGGGTTTTTCCTGGTGCACAAACACACCTGACTTGTGAAAAGGTATCACAGCTTAAACCACAGAATAAAAGTACATGAAAGAATGAAACCAATTGAGGTCTATTCAACTAAAAATTCAGGAAATATTAAAATGTGAAAATGTATGCAAATAGTCACCATACTAATGTGTCTGCAGTAAGTTACTATGCTGCTTAATGATTGAGGCTACAACTAGGATTAAAATGACCACTATACATTTCATTGTTAAACAGAAAGGTCCACACCATCCATTCAAAACATACGTTGACTTTATGGTAACTTCAGCAAACCTGTGGCGCAAAAACACATCTCTGCCTCCATCTACTGGAGAAAATAGGCACAGTGCAAGAAAGAACCAGTCTTGCATTGATAAACATTTTTATTACCAATAATCACAGGAAAGGAATGGCCAGCATACAGAGCATTTATCAGAAATAAAAAACCTAACTTCTTTATTTACAAAGTCTACAATTAAATGTGAACAGATGCGCACATGCACATACAAATTACAGTACATAATTATTGTTAGATTATCAACACAGATGTAACAGTTCCCCTATTTAGAGACAGTGATGGCCAGTTTAACAGCTCCTCACCGCTCCCATGGTCCCAACAGGCTATGTAAGGTCACACAATCAGCTAAGAAATTGAGACCAGCAATGGATGGAAACAATATAATAGTAAGCAGGCGAGTCTGATTGGCTAAAAGGATGAAACATAATTCAGACTTTGGTTTACATACAGAGTGTAAAAAGACCTGATGAAGAGGATATCTGAGCACAAAGTACAACAGTAGTACAACAGTAGTTATGGTCACTCTAAAGTCAGTGTGTTGGAGTGACCATTGCTAAGCCCTGTGGCACCAGTTCTGTCAAGAGTAATGGGCTAGAATCACAGGCAATTATTGTGAGAAAACCAAAAACCGTAACTTCTGCAAACAGATATGATATAGCAGAACTTTTATCAAACTCAAAGTCAATGATTAGACTCTAACTTTACTATAGTACTACACACAGCAGAAGACTGTTTCAACTCGGGCTGGAATGAATTTGAACATGAAAGAAATTTAAAAAAGTAGTATTTCCAGTAAAACGTCACTCTTTTGTATTTTGTTTTTTTATTTCCTGAAGAAGGGTCACCAAACCAGTAGTATTGTTGTATATTGTGCTGATCTCTCTGGCATGAATATCCAAATGTCCAAATCATTCAGTCCTAGATTCGACTGTTTATAAAACTGGAAGATTTCATGTGAGAGTCATTGTTATCATTGCAACAGGGCTTTTTCATAATCAATGACAAGTAAATGAACTTAAAAGGGCATTATGCAACTTTCTATGTGAGCAAGTGTAATAAGGTAATACTTTTGCATATTTTATCTTATAAGTGGCCGAGTTGTACGAGTGGGCAGCATGGTGCCTTCACTTTTGATCCATGTTACAGCGCTCCAGGATACATGGTTGTGTAGGTTTTCTGATGCATGGTTCCCACTTTTCCCCAGCGTCTCATAACCACTTCTCTCTTTCGATTCAATTGAATGAGTCTGGATTGCAGAAGTATTTGACATTTGCGCTGCAGGAGCATGTGACTTATGACACACAGCTATAGGAGGGTGTGGCTGAGGCAGTTTGTCTCCTGAATAACATCACACCTGAGACCAACAGCACATTTCATTTATACCCAGTATTTAGACTAAAGAATCAAACTCCAGCTATTCATTAGAAAGTGTATATTTATGACATAATCTGTTGATATGCCAAAGGCACCACACTCAACCACCGACAGTTATGTTGATTTGTAATTTTCATATGAACCATGAATGTCACTTTCACAAACACAGAATCTACAGTCAGAGTCAGCCACCAGGGCACAAACATCCGGCAACCTCATTTAGCTACGAATATGAGAATCCTCATTGTGACCTCATGCTTGCTAACAGAGAAACAAGCAAACTTTGTTAAAGCCACACTTTTGGGAGGATGTCCTCCTCCAGATTTCACCTCCAGAGGTGGACAGAGGGTAATGAGTTTTGAACAGCATGGTATTTATCTATAATATCGCTGTATAAAACTATGAGAATTGGACTCTTGGGCAAAGACTTGGACTTGACTCGCAAGTCACAGACTTCTGTGAAAAGGCATGAAGGACGGGAGTCTAATAATGCAGTATTATTCGAGTTATGCAATATCCTGCTATCAATTCTCTTTTGTTGTCAGCCATTTGATAAACTATAAAATGTGAAACATCAAAAGCCTAACAGGGTTTTTACACGTTGCTTTATTACAGGTCCCTAAATCTTATTTTAAGTGTTTAAGTTGAAATCAAACAGTTGCTCATTCTACACCAACTACACCCTCTATTTTATACCAAACAAACATGTATGAAACAAAGTTATCTCCACAACAAACAAAGTTTCATACACGAGTTTGATCTTTTGCTGTGCAGATGTTCTCCACTTACAGCGAGAGTAAATGAGTCATCTGAGGGGAAACTACAGGGCTCCAGTTTCATAAAGAGTCAATTTGTTGATCCTCCAAAGGGTTCTCTGATTCAATATGAACTTTTACAGATTATAGCTATCCTTTTACAGAGAAACAGCAGGAAGGGCTTAGTAAAATTTAAGATTAATAAACATTGAGCTTGAGATACACCTCAATCCAGAGGTAGAAGTTGGAAACGACATTCTGCTTTAGATTTCATCAACATCTAACATGGTGTGGTGGAATCAAAGGCATGCAGTTGAAACAAATGAATTTTTAACCCAAAACTAACTTTGCGGCAATACTTTTGACATAACGTCGCAGTCTAAGGATCTGTCAATGCCGACAGACATTCAGACAGACTTGGGGGACAATTGTGGCAACGGATGTGTGACTTATGTGATTAAAAACTTTTCAAAAGGCAAACAAAGCCCATTAAGAGCAGTGACAGTGCTGCGTGTGGCGCGGTGAGGATAGCAGAGTGTAAACACACGGTTACTTCACAAAGGCAGTGGCGGGTTGCTCACGCGGGTCACTCTTCAGCTCCGCCGGGACTTGGAATGCTGGATAAGCCACTGCAGCGTGATGTCTGCAAAAGAAATATGGGTTTGGATGGAAAACAATGTGATAAGAACGTCTTTAAACTGTTCAAAAGTCAATACATGGGACACCGTTTGAAAAAGGGTTGGAAGAAAGTTGATGCTCACACTCACAAAACACACAAAACACACAAAACACACACAGGCCTCTACACACTCTGACCCGACAACTCTCCTCAGTCACTTGGTGTGCTGAGGGCATCACTCTTTTCTCCACACACTTTTTTATTTTTGTATGTATATTTGAACAGGTTTTTTAAATCTGGTAAGTAATTGCAAGGACACACACACTGATACACAATGATTTTAAGTAGTTCTAAATTTAGGCACATATATTTTCCTTTTTTTCTTAGCCTGTGATTATGGTGAGCATCTCTAATCTTGGAATAATTGTACATTTGGTGGTAGACATTTTCCAGACCTGACCATTATTTGAAAGTTTTTATCAATTACATTTCATTCATAGAATTATTGCATGTAATTATAGTCTTTAAGACAATTATAAGGCTTTAAGTGAGTTTACCCATACTTCAATGCAATATCTTAAATATGACTTAATGAATGAAGAATACAAAACAGGGCAGTGGTGTTCAGTAAATTACTTTTAATCATAAACACGTTTTTATTTGTTTTATGGATAAATATTGTTCCGTTTAGAAATGGAAAACTAAGAGTCATAGGTTGTCCTTAAATAATCTTATTAGTTTGTCCCAAAACAAAGTCCAAAAGAGAGTCCTTTGAACAAATCATGCAAGTCAGGCACTCATTGACCCTTGGCGGAGCGAATGGTCCTCCCTTTTCTGAATAATCTTGATCTTAACATGTGACAGAGGCCAAAAAGGCAAGCACATGAAAACTGAACTAGTTTTGCTACATAGTTACATGTTTTGTGGTTTGAAAAACGGATTCCCAGCGTTAAGAGTATTTTCTGTTCGTTGTCATTCTCGCTTTAGTATATTTCATTATTTACAATATCCATGGAGTGATTATTATTATTATCCATTCAACAATGACATGAGCAGTAGTTGAAGTTTACCTATGTTGTCCTTCTCCTTGCACGAGACAGAGTAGCAGCAGATTTCTCTGTCTTGAATGGCAGATAAATTCCTACAGAAAGTAAATAGATTAGTGGTTATTTCATTTGTAGATGTTCAGGAAGTATAGTGTGTGTAAATATGGCCATAGACCGAGGGACATGTCTAGATCTAACAGCAAAACATCAGGCCGATTTGAACATAAGCGAGCTGGAGCCAATTTCCTTATATGGGCATTTGCGACAGTGGAAGTAGCCTTGCGTTACATGGGCAGATCTGTTGCTACGATAATTGCAAAGGCAAACTAAAGTTTCCCCATTGAATGAAGACATCTGAGGATTTTACTTTTTAATTCAAGTGAAAAGGAGCCAGAGCAAGTACGAGCCACACTTAATCCATAAACGATCAACACTGAAAGAGACCGTTTTAGAGTTTTAGAAGGAAAAACTCACTGTAATAGGCCGCCTGCCTTTACAATAATTACAAAATCACAGTCAGTCTGTCAGTCAGCTCATTTTTGGGATTCCCCCAGTTTAACGCTGAGTCATTTCACAATTAGAATACCTGAATAGAAACCTTGTGTTTTCAGTTTCAGGTCATTCAGGTCTTCTTCTCAATATCATTAAATTAAGACAGGTTGTTCTTTTGAATTGTTTGTATTCATTTGTACAAAGTTTACACAAGTTTAATTTCAGACAAATGATGCCTCTTAACACAGTGTAAGTTCCATGTGCATGTTTAATTATGTGCATTCATGTGAAACGTACATTAAAGGGGGTGTTTATCTACCAGTGCATCTCATAAGGCCATGCAGATGGTGTCATTTGGTGGACTGTGTAATAACATTCATTTGCGAATAAGCTACAGGTACTGATTATAGCATTTATGCATAGACCTTTTTAACCAGGACAGTTCCACTGTGAGGGGAGGAGTCACTTTAAAATGTGTTTAGTGGTTGCGGAAACCAAGGCAACCTCCACAGACGTTGGGATATGGTTAAATTTTTCCTCTGTTGCAACAGATTTTAGTTTGATGATTTTTTATTATTTTTTTGCAATGCAGTCCTTTTTAACACCAGTGTTCACATTCATGCTGCTTCTGTTCTTTAAAATTTAAAGTCCCACAAAAATACAGTTAATCTGGAAAAACTTACATTTTTTCAATCAGCTGCTTCTCATCCAGAGCATTTGGCAAGTCTCGTTTGTTCCCCAGTACTAAGATCTGGGGGAGAAAGAAAATGTTTATGTATTATCCTCCCCAGCGGCACTAGGACGTACTCACTGGAATCCCTTGTAATTGTTGCTTGTCTAAAAGATTATGGAGCTCATTTCTGGAAGCCTCAATCTTCTCACGGTCGGCTGCATCCACCATGTAACTAATAAAGGAAGTGAGAACAAAACACAATTAAAGCCACGAACGGCATCTCCCGGAGGCATAGCTTTCAATGGCAACCGAATACAACAGATGAGACAGACGCAACCGCTGCTTATATGCTCGTCATTTACCTCAACATCATGGAGTCTCCCACCCCCTTCATAGGAGCCCATTCATTCCACTGTGTGCTACAGCAGGATTAATGGTACCATGCCTTCAATATGGGTTTATCAGAGTTTGGGCCCGTGCCAGTGCTCTTGGGAGTGGAATGACAACAATTCTCAGGAAAAATTATGTCCCATTGCCAAGGCATTTTTTCCCCCATTGGGAAAGCAGAAGGCCCTACAGCTGGGTTGGGGTTTGGTCCAAAATAAAGCAGAAGTAATCCTATATTAATAAGAAGGAAATAACTTACACTATTGCATTGACTCCACGACAGTATCTCTCCCACATGCTCCTGAAGCGCGGCTGTCCACCAATGTCCCACACCTGATGCCACGGCACAAACAAACATTCATAGCTGATGTTATGAAGTGAATATACAACTGTATGTACAGGCCGATGCAGACTAAATAACAATTCAATAACAATTCAATAAAAATACAATAGTTTACCTTTATTGTCACGTTGCCTTTCGTGACTTTCCTCATATTAAAACCAACTGTGGGAATCATATCTTCACTGAACTGGCCTGACTGGAAAAGAACAGAGAAAAGATCAAAAGATGCCCATGTATTTAACAGTCATATTTTATCTCACAATGACATGTATTTTACAAATGAGTGCAAACCGTGTATGACAAGGCGAACTAGATTTTGCCAAAGATTTTACAAATATAATTTTATGTGTGAAGTGTGAACATAAAATTATAAATTAACTTTTTTGTTGTCATACTAGGGTAGGGATGTAACCAAGCCTCCAATCAATAACACTCATATCTATCTCTATCAATATGCTTAAAAACATATATGCATATTTGACTAATTACATTCATACAAACAAGAATACATTTTAATTTCAGTGAGCGAGTCATTAAAGTATCATGAAAATGTGTACATTCTAAGTTGTGATCTCTAGAATGTGTTCAGTTTATATTGCGTGCAGTCATCAGTTCTAGGGATTTGAAGTAAGAGTTTACATCTGTACAATAGCAGCAGTATCTTTACATCTGTACATTAGCAGCAGTATGTTTACGTCTGTACATTAGCAGCAGTATGTTTACGTCTGTACATTAGCAGCAGTATATTGCACATTCTGATATAAGTTAAGGATATTGCAGCGATGCATGACACGTGGGAAGTTGGTGGTGTTCATTAGTCCTTATTGTTTGTTGTACTGTCTGACACATTTATTATATTTGCAAAAGAACAAGAAAAAAAGGATGTGGAACTTTCTCTATACATTATGTTCCCATTGATAATTAGAGAACATTTGTCATGAGAGGCCAAAAGTACAAGGCCTCAGTTTCACAAAGACTTCAGACATTTGTACAATACGTGTTCATAAAAGGTTCTAAAACTAGGATATATTTCAACAAGTTTTACATTGTAAATGCTTTCCCTTTAATCCCGTGGTTCCCCACTATGAGTGTATTACTATCATTTATATTTTAAGCAGCAGGTATTCCACCACAAAAGGTTATAAAATCGGACTGAGCACTTTAAAGCCGTAAAGTCATGTTGAATAAAAGAAGCAGCAACATGAAAGTATTTACAATTAGAGTAACTTTGACGATGAACAGCTTGGGCCAAGTCTGATACCGACTGTCATTTCTTGAGGGGGGCAAAAGGGGTGTGAGCTCCCTGTATGAAACTGAAAGTAAACTCTTCATTGTTTTGGTGGGATGTGATCACATGACATGCTCTTGCTGGTACAATAATATACCGGGATGTAAAATGTCCATATATTTAATCTTATGAGAGAAGAGTGAGTCATTGTCACCATGTGGTGACTGCTCATAAGTGCACAGTCATACAACTTTAGAGCAACAACTATATAATGTCACAAACATAACGTTAGTTGAGGAGGGAAACACAGGTGGTATGTGTTCTGTCCGCAGCTGGGCCTCACACTTACCGCAATGACGTTGACAAAGGTGGTCTTCCCCGAGGACTGGAGCCCCACCAGCGTCAGCTCCATCTCCTCCTTCCAGAAGAGAGCACGAAACCAGTCCAGGAGGCGGTTTATGAACGACAGCATGTTTGCATGTGGTCCGGGTTCAGCTCCAGATCCATGCAGCAGCGGCGGCTCGCTACTACCCCGGAAGTAACCAGTGCCCAGTCAGACCACGTGACTCATTCACGTGAGTCCGTGCGCGCCGCGGTGCGCGCCAATACGTCCAAGTGTGCGCCATAGAACTGTATGATCTGTATGCATGTATCTTTATTATTTGTATTATACTGCCTATGTATAATAATATAGTATAAGACCTCTATTTACTTTTCATACCGAGGACAGACCGTAGGACTTCTGTGGTCCAGACTTTACAGTCTATGGTCTAGACTCCAGACCAGTGGCACCTTTCACATGGGAAACAATCTGTGGCACACCATCATCTGAAACTGATGCAGGGATTGAACTCTGCAGCGTTCATTAACAATGTCGAGTATTTCTCATCAAAGTGTATCAATCTCACTGTATTATTGTGTCACATTTGATATTGAAATAATTCACAAAGCACACCAAACAACATCTCAAGGCACACTGGTTGAAAAACACTGGTCCAGATGTTTGGTTTCCTCCCTTCTTTTGGGGGTAGAGTGTTTCATGTACCAGGGGTCAAACTTGGTTCTGTCCAGGGCTTGTGTTTTAGGCTTTACTGTTACACCAAGGTCTCCATTGTTTTCTTTATGAAAAGTTTGCTTATAATAACTCCTCCTCAAGCCTTTCACTTTTGGTCCCGTCAAGCATTAACTCATTTTGTTCAATATAAACAAATAAAAACTTGCTTATAATAACTCCTCTTTAATTATATATACATTATATATATTTATAATTCTTTAATATATTTATATATATATATATATATATATATATATAATTAGTTATAGTTAATGCTTGACGGGACCAAAAGTAAGAAAGGCTTGTTGTTAAACAATTATGAAATTGAAATCGCCAACACAAATCAGAGAATCAACAGTTAAGATACAAAAATATAGAAAACATTGGTATTGGTTAATAGAGACCAATGTCCATGAATGTTGAAAAAGCAGAATATTAAAGTGTCCTGGATCACCCCTGTCCATTAACAGACCCTCCTGCATCGGCAACTCTAAAACCTAGTATAAATCAGACCTGCAAACTCAACTGGAATAAAAAAGGTGAAAGTCTAATCCTCAATTCTTGGCGCTTTAACCAAAGTCTGCTGTGTTCAATATTCAATTTTTTATTGCATGTTTTCAAAACTCTTGCAGTGTTTCCTGCACACTACAGTGACATGCACGTGTATGGGTGATAATTACTTTGCGTGATACACCATACAACACTCAAAACTTGTCAAATGAAAGCAATTTCTTGCATAGAGGTGAAGGAAGTGGATCTCTGCTCCTTTCCCTCCCACCACACATATGGTGATGTAGCACAGATCACAGCGCTCCCTCCCACTTGTAACAAGCCTCATTTACTACAACCAAATCTGAACCTGGGTTGCAAGTGGATATAACTTGCATGATATGTTTAAACACCAAATCACAAAAAACAACAGCCATCATGTACATTTGAAGTCCAATGTTTTTTTACGGTTTTAATTAAAATACAATTATTGTCTTCAGATATTTGTAGTTCCTTGCAGCCAAAAGTCATGTATATGAAAATCAATTAAAAGATAAACCTGTGTACCCTGTATGATTCAAGTGCAGTCCAGGTAAACAGGAAAGGCCTCTTATTAAAGAATAGCTAAAACATTGAAAAACACTTATTGGATTTAAAAACATTTTTTTTTAAAAAGGCTTCATCCCAAACATTGTAGTAAATTTCTTTCAGATGTTAAAAATGCATTTGTCGCACTCAAATAGATGTTCATCTTATGGAAGACAGCCCTATAGGAGACAAATGACAATTATTTCAGAAAATGTGTAGAGAATGAAAGGAGACATAAACATTACCTGTGATCTGATAACTGAGGTGAACTTTTCAGGTGCTGCTGCGCTCATAGTGGTGGTGTACACAGTTACACTACAAAACAAGGAGTATAATTAGAATATGCCCATTACACGATGAAACAGCTGATTTTACTAACACTGTAACACAATTATCTGTCTGAGTTTGGAGTATTTAACCAGTTAGTGAGGGGAGGGGGCATGTTTTGCTTTCACATATGAACAGAGCTGAATAGAGCTTTGTTATGACTTCCTCTGAAGACTGTGTGGGAGAACTGCTCAGAGCAAACTGACCCTGGCCCTGCTCTGAGGCCAGGCCATGGATCTATAATAATAACAGGGCCAGGCCCAGCGTTGCCCGCTTTAGCAGCTTGACACTACTCACTTTGAGAAAGTGAAAAAGCGCAAACAGCCTGCAGTTGAGGCTAAGTGAAAATGCCTTATGTGCTCAGACAATAGTGGGCCCACAATCATGCTGAAGTCTCAGAATAGAAACTTAAAGCATAAAACCTATTCACTGTCACTACCAGAGTGATTCACTCAAACTAAAAACTGCTCAGTTTAAAGAGTGGACTTACCCGTTACACACAGGGTACAGGGACAAAACCTGGGAACAAAGCATCATCACATGTCAGCATTGTATATTCAAACTATTCACAATACTTGTTATTACTTTACCTGATAAAGTGTATCAATGTTGATATGCTCCTGTCCAGTTGCATTTAAGGCTTCATTGGCCACTTTCCTGGAACCAATAAGTTTAAGTGAATCATGTCCCAACAAACTACTAGTCTCTTTATTCAAAATGCAATGCCATTGTCTAGTGGCATGTTGTAATTTTAGTATTCATTTGTATTTGCAATATGTAAAAATAACATGCATTTTACTTTCATAAAACACAAGATTGCATCGCTAAAGGTCACATTTCTAAAAGATTGCGTCTCTTTATTTAAAACGTCATTCAGTCTGTGAAACAAAAGATGCATGAGAGGTGATCCTGTGGACCAAATTTCATGTAATCAAGATATTAGTATTTTCTGAAGTCTAGAAAAGCAAACAGACTGCCGACACCTGCTGCACTGAGTCCAGAGCACAGGCACTCCAAAAGACCTGAGTCTCCTCAGCAGGTCATCCTCGGTGATGGGGCCGATGATGGAGTCGTTAAAGAAATTCTGTAGGACACAACTGTCCGTATTGTGTCTGAAGTCTACAGTGTAGAGGGTGAAGAGGACGCTGCGAGGACTGTCCCCTGGAAGACGTACACCGTGCAGGTCAGGACCTCAGACAAACTGGGGTCTGTCTGTGAGGTAGTCCAGGATCCATTCAGACAGGTCACAGTCCACTCCAGCCGTCTCCAGCTTGTTTCTGAATGTCACTGGATGATGCTGAAGGCACTAGAGAAATCAAAAACAAAATTCTCACAGCAGAGCCGGGCTTTTCCAGGTGGGACAGTGGAGGTGGATGGTGTCCTCCTCTCTGATGCCCGGCTGGTAGGCCAAGTGCAGCAGGTCCATCGCTGAGTTCAATGTGAAGTGGAGGTGGTCCAACCAGTCTCTCTTAATCAGGTGGAATATCAGAGCCACCAGTCGCTGAGGTCTTTGGCCGTGGCGTACCATGCAGGAGGTCTTCCAGATCTGTGGTACCGACCTCAGCTTGAGACTCATGATGAAGACGTGCCCATAACAGCGCAGGAGATCAGGAGCCAAGGAGCCAGAGGTAATATGGTCCGGTCCAGCTACCATCCTAGTCTTGATCTTCCTCTGCTCTCCTCGCACCTGAGCAGGTGTGAAGGACAAGGGTGGGCTTGGGAGCTTTAACCAGACTGTTGGTCTTTGTTCCACTGCAGAGGTTAGGACTTGTAGTAGGGGGTGAGTCTCGAAAGAAACTGTTTAGATCATCGACCCATTGCCGGCCACATCTTGCTCACATTCTGCTGACTCATTCGTTTCTCTATCTTTATCTCTTGTAGCGTGTCTTCGTTTCTCTTTGAAACGTTTCTCTGTGCCTGATTATAGTTTCTCCTTTCCTTCAGCAGGACTTTGGGGGTCAGAATTTATCCACGGCTTGTAAGAAAAACAGACATTGCACCTGGATATCATAACACAAGTTTATGTAATCTATCACACCACGTACATGTCCATGGGCTTGTACTCAGGCTGTAGAACATCGAGGGGGTTTAGGGCGGGAGGCTTGTATGCTTCTGTCGCATTGACAAAGAAAAGGTCCAGTGTTCAATTGCCTCTTCTTTTTGTATCAATTTCAGCTGATGCTGTGCCATGTGATTGATTTCGATGAAAAGGTGCAGCAGCGTATCCCTGGAGTCGAAAAAAAGTGGAGAGCGGAGGGAATCTGTTGGCCCTACGCACATCTCGGCAGAATTACAATAAAAATCCACAGAAAAGACACAAAACACAGCATGTATTTATTCCGATCTTTATTTGGCTATGTATAAGTACAAGAAATGTACCTAAATAGGATTTCAGATTATTCAAATTTGAGTTTAATATGAAGAATAATACTCAATACTAATTTTGATACTACTGAAAATATTTATAATGAAATGTGTTGTCAACATAAAATAACTTTTTCATGTGGCCACAAACTTTTTTACAAGATGTTTTAGTGTGTATAATTGCTCAAATAGTTTTAGTAATGATTTCGAAACCCTTTGGAACTCTATTTGCTGAATGTCTGATTTTTACCTTACTCAACCAGATTAATTTCTTTGCAAAATCTAATGATGTCAACAGGACAATTGCTAGTTATGACAATTACTCACTACTTCATAACTCACCTTCGTTTATCCTGTTCTGGAGAGGGCTTCCAGTGGTCATAATTTGTTTCCACTCTGTACCACCTACAGAAAACGTTAAAGAAGGCTATAACAATTTTAATAATAATAATTATAACAACAGTTTCCTATTTGCACAATACTATGTTACATGGTATTAAAAAATGCATATATTGACCCTCCATTGACGGGCTCCAGTGGCCATATGTCTGCGGGGCCGGTGCGATCTCTGGTGATGACCACGCCCTCACCGGCTCGCACCCCGCCCACTATGTAGTACACCCCAGTGATGATGGGCACTTTTGAGAGGCGGAGCACGGCGTCCAGGAAGTCCTCCGCATTTTCAAGAGTCTTCAGAAGAAATGAGAAAACAAAACAACAAGAATACATTTTACTTTGAGACTATTTTGAATGGGACAAACAGGTGTTATTTATGGAACAAACAGTTATGTGCCTCTTATCTCTAGCTTTGAAATAAGGTCATTATTTAGACCTGTATGGAAGGCAGAGTAAAATATTGGAGGTCATGGATGTGGTCATGGTATAGGAGTGCATTGTCCTTTAATTAAGATTGAAGAGATCCTTTATTCGTCCCACAGTGGGGAAATGTCTGTGTTGCAGTTACAGAACAGTAGGAATGAGCACACAGCACAAGGTAAATGGACACAGCACAGGATAACATAAATGAACACAGCTCTATACTAAACTCTATAATGAATAACTGAGTAAAATAACGAAATACAATACATTCTAGGAAGCAAGCAGTCTGTAATCTGTAATAAGAAGCAAAAAATAAGTACCAAATCTCTGACTTTAGCATAATAAGGATAAAGCACTATACATTTTATTGCAGAAACCATAGTTGTATGTATACATCTGTACATGTTAGCAGCATGAGGGCGTGGGAGACAGTGACAGTGGACCATGGATCTATTATAATAACTCCATAGGGTATTACTAGCTTGGAGCTGAAGGACCCATGTGCTCGGGGGATTTTCGCGGTACTGCAGACTAAACAAGACTAAACGTGGGCTACCCAGACATTTTCCAACTCGACAGGAAAGGTGTACTGCTATCACACAGTAGCAGTGTGGTTTCACAGGAGCAGTTGACTACTTAAACCAAACTTTATACAAAACTTTGACTCTTGAAACCCACATATAACAACATGGAACCATCAACATCTCGCCTCAGATTGCATTAAAAGTGATATTTGTGTCTTAATTTGTTCGTACTTAAAACATTTACAGACTTTATGTCCGCCATCTTGGTTTGCTTTGGCTGCCGTGAAACGCGCAAGCGCAAGTTTGCATTACAACATTAAAGTGATAGTCTGGAACTCTAAATTAATTACGAATTTTAGGAATTGTATTAAATTGACCTCCTGGCCTTAAATAATGATATAAAATAAGGCAATCCTAATATTACGGGCAAGTCCCGCCTTCCCTTTTCTTAGCTATAGTTCAGAATCCACGATGCCGTCCACGTTAACCAATCAAGTGATGCCAAGGGCTGTCAATCATCGGCGCTGAAGCTCGTAGCTGCGCGCATGCTCAGTTGTTTTTTTTCGCCTCCAAATCAAAAAACTGAACAAAAAATTCTGAACATCCGCGCTGAGTTACCATTTATATAGAGAACCTATCCATAATCAGATCCTCTGCAGATGTGTCCTATAATGTTCAATCAACGTTAATAGCTACTTCCGGGTTTACCGCGATCGCATTAAAACATTATTTTTTATTATGAAAACATTTACAAATAATTCTGAAAACCTCCGTGCATATGTATTAATAATGTATAAGTATAATGTGTTCTCAGATTAACATTTATGTGTTACGGAAACGTAGGCGTAGACCAATCAGAAAGGAAGGGGGAGGAGCTTGGGTCGTTTTTTTCAAATCCTGTACCTCTCTCTCTTTTTTCTGACAAACTCCAGACAATCACTTTAACAGCTGAGGCAGCTCATCTCGACAAGCGGGGCAACTCGACAGAACACCGGCACATGCGCCACTGAGCACAAACCATTCATTTGAATACGGCGCCATCTTGGATCCCCGGGGCTCGAAGTGGACACATGGGGTTTCATATTGCACATTCTGACATTGGTTCAAGATATTGCACAGATATGTGAGGTCGACAGTGTTCGTTAGTCCTCATTGTTCATTTTACAGTCTGACAGCAGCAGGGAAAACTCACCTCTCTCACCAACCAGCTAACAGGAGACCTCCGGAAAAGGAAGGCCGACACCCAGTTTTTCCACCAGTTCCACCAGTGTTCACTCCCTGTCAGTTAGAATCCACCACATCAAACCACAGTTGATAAATATAGCTTGTGCATTAGTAAGTTAAATAAATATGATTCTCACCTCGCTGATCACCTGATATTGTAAATTTATTTGGACTTTGACCGGTCCATAAGCCAATATAGCCTGCAAATGATGTGCCTTGGTACACAACCTAAATTATGTTTAAGTGAAAGAAACAAATGCAGTTAGGTTTGATTAACAACATGGCAGCACTAGGCAGTGATTAATGAAAACCTTTCCATTCTTTAAAAAGTTGACATTGATGGTGAGGTTTCTGAGAACAGGATGAGGATAGTCCAGATTTCTGCCGTGGTAGATGTTCCCTTGTTTGTCCTGAGTCACGATACTTGTACAAAACCTACAAAAAGAGAAATGTCAACAGACCTCGTCAAAAGCAGAACTAATAACAGGAACTGCAAGCATAAACACGTCACCCCACCCCTTCTGTTTCAATGCTCCTGCCTCAAACTTTGTTATGTCCTTTGGTGCTTCACCCACATTGTCTAGTACGACTTTGGTGTGCGGTAAAAGGGGCTGATGGGCATATAGTATAAGCCTTGTGTCTGTCTGTCTGTCTACGGCTGCAGTACAGTAGTAGCTTATCACCACTGTCTACAGAGGGATTAACGAATTCCATGTGAAGAGTCTTTGCGTGTTCATAAAAGTGCTGTATAAAACAACGGATTATTATTAGTACTGTCAGTTAAACGTGTGCCTGGACACGCGGCTCAGTGCGTCAGGCTTCTACAATGGACACGTATCTGAAATCATCCCCACTGAAAACCAAAGCGGTCGCACTCACTGGTGATAACTGGACGTCCATCAGGTCAAAGCCCAAACGTTGAAGCTATAGTTATTTTCAATGTGTGTGATAGTCTCACAAAATGTAATAAAAACTAATTGACTTAAAACAAACTAAAGAGTAGCCTTTATTAGACTATTGAAGAAGGGCTGCACAATATATCAAAAAAATATTGTTATCGCAATAATAATAATATGCGCAATTTTTTTCTTTATTAAAGACAGCAAAACCGACACATCAACATTCAACAAGAACAACAATCAAAAAAACAAAAAGTATATAAATATATGCATTTGAATTAATTAATGTTGTGCTTATTTTTTGTTATTTGTCTCTTGCATTTCAATGCAGATTGCAATTTTAGGTAAAAATAAAAAATAGTGCGATAATATTGTTATCAAAATACTAAACGCTCCAATTTCAAATATCGTGCAGCCCTATATTGAAGTCATCTCTACTTTGTTAAAAACCCTTTGGTTTCCTCAACAATTTGGTAGATCACCTTTTGAGTCACTATATCTTGTTAAAGCATGTTTGGATCTGAAGTTTACCTATTTGGGTCATCTCACTTGGTTTTATGCACTTTTACCATCAAACTAGCTCCACCATTTGGTAAAGGCCTATAATAAACATTTTTTAAAAAACAGCCTGGTGGTACCGCACCATAGCACAAATTACATTTCGTACTAAGGTCTGGAGGTGCTCCATTGAGCTCCGTTAACAGGTGGGAGGGGTGAACTCCTTTTGCAGATTGAAATGATTGGATCTGAGTTTACCGTGACGTATGTAATGCACCCGAGTGAGTTGTTAGCATTTAGCCTAGCCATCTCCTTTGCCGCTAACGGAGCCCGTGGGGAGTAGCGCCACAATCTTTGCCAGAGATAACATTTGTTATACATTCCTCTTGCTCCGACTTCAATTTTTGATAGAACCAGACCAGATTACTTTACTATCTCATTCTTTGCCATTGCCAAACTACAACCGGCCCGTTCGGCGCAAACTCTTGACGTCACCCACAACTAACTACAACACCCGCCTCCAGCACTCGCTGATTGGTCAGATGGAATTCAACCGATGTAATTGGAAACACAGAGACCCAGACCCAGACGTTACATGCAGTGAAATGATTATTGACCGGAGCGTACGGATGGCTAAGGCCAGGCTATTATTGCTCCTTAGAAACATTTACACTTTCTTTAACGAGTGAACATTAGAGAGTTTAATAATTCTATGCACTGTAAAAAGCTATAACAAAATCATGCAGAGATGAAGTAGCCTATTTTAAACAATGAAAATATTTTCTGTTCGGAGGGAATTGGATTAATGTAAGCTTTTTGCTTCATCCAATGCCTTTTCAAACCAAATCAAGGGCATTTAGAACAGTTCCACTCAAACACCTGAGAAGTTACACGTTCATCCATAACACATGACACTTCTTATGAGAATTCTTTGAGATGACTTGTGAGCTTAGGCGGAAAAAAAATTAATTGATTTCATTTGGTGCTTCTGTAAAATGTTTCCATGTACTTAATCCACAATCTGTCGGTTATAATTCTTAGTTTCTGTTCCGTTTAGTAATAACCGTTCTCCTGTGTCTTTTAGTTTCACTTCCTGTTCTGTGTATTACCTGCCGAGCCCATTATGTTCCACTTGTGTGTATTTAAACCCAGTGCTCCTCTCCTCTTGTTGTCCGTCTATTGTATCCTTGTCCCTGTTACTTTTTGGGTTGATGTTTGCTGTTACATCCTGGATTTTGTCATTTTTTAAGTGTGTTAAATAAATCAGATTTTTGGCAGGTCTGCATTTGAGTTCTCACTTTTGTTCTGCGCCCGTGACACTTTTTTTGTTACTCAAATAATTCCAGCTGAGAAATAGAAATACATACGCAGATACTTCATAGGCAAAGTTGAGAATGATGGCGTCCGAAAGGCTCCCTCCGATGAGTTGAGCCAGACCCCTGATCTCCCCTGCGTATGGCTGGGGCATGTACTTCTCCAGAGCCAGCACTACAGGCTTAACCGCCTGGTGCACCCATTTGGGGACCGTGGAACTGAAATCAAGCAGACAAAATGAGAAAATGAATCTATCGAACCTTGTCCAAGACCTCTTAAAGCTGGAGTACCTAACTTTGAACCTACAATAAATGTAATATCTGATAAGAATCTATGTAACTGTCTATGTTCCCCATTCTAAAGAATCTTTGGTTTACTCACTAACTTTCATATGCATGTTTAGTTGGCCTATGTCACATCTTTAGATCCGCTTTTTTCAGTCATAAAAGTACCAGTTCCCTTCTCTCAGATAATCGGCAATCATTTCATATAGACAAGATATAGACAGCTTCTTGGGGTCAGATTTGTTCACAGAATGTTACTTAAAAAACATTCCTTCTGCTGGGACAAACAATATGTATGATGATGCAATGGAATTATGAAAATGCATTGTGAGAATGTAATTAAGTCTGTTCAGAAAAGGTGTTTGACAAAAGGTCAAAAGCTGGCCACCTAACAATCAAACGACACAAAGATAGGGCGACAGTTGCTCAGTTGGTGGAGCATTGGGCTTTGAGCCAGAAGGTCGTGGGTTCGAACCCACCACAAGACTTTCTCCACCGATTCCCACTGATGTTGTTGTGTCCTTGGCAAGACACTTAACCTCTGGGAACACCAGGTGCCACAGTGGGGCGGCTGCGTCTGTAAAGTGCCAAACTGCCATTGTGTTCTTAGGCAAGACACTTCACCCACATTGCCTAGAATGAGTCTGGTGTGTGTGTGAATGGTTGGTGGTGGTCGGAGGGGCTGATGACACATTCTGGTTGCCTCGCTTCTGTCAGTGTTCCCCAGGGCAGCTGTGGCTACAGTAGTAGTATGGAGTGAATGAATAATGACGTGAAGCATCTTTGAGTGTCCAAAAAAGCGCAATATAAAACCGACTCATTATTATTAAATATTATTACTATTAAATATCTTGGCCATCTGATCACAGATCGGCTGACAGATGAGGAGGACATTATTCAGCAGTATTGTTTGTTGTATGTAAGGGCGAATGCTTTGATGCGTAAATTTGGTTGCTGCACTGTTGATGTGAAGTTGGCCTTATTCAAAGCTTACTGCTCTCCTTTATACTCTGCACATCTGTGGCTGAACTACAAAAAAGCTACTCTTCTGAAACTTCAGGTAGCTTTCAATGACGCTCTGAGGATGCTGTTAAAGAAGCCCAGATCGATTCATGCGAGGGAGTTGTTCGTGAGCAACAGAGTGAACACACTGAAGTCTGTCCTGAGAAATGCAATGTTTAGTTTTATTCGCCGATTGAACGAGTTTGTGAACCTAGTTGTTGTTGTTTTGGTGAATGTCAAGTTCAGTACAACACGCTGTATTTCTCAGTTCTGGGAACACTGGTACAAGTGTCTTTGTAAATGAGTCATTAGACTTTGCCATTTTATTGGCAAAGTCTATGTTTCTGTGTCTTGTGGTGTCCTTGTGTTGTCTCTTGTATGGACCTTGAGTCCAGAATAAAATTATTATTATTATAACCATGCAATAACCATCTTGCGTTATTATTATTATTATTATTATTATTCAAACAGTTTGGATCTATCACTAGTTTTCAAATGCATGTATTTCTGGGCACTCACTCAGCCAATCAGTCCCTCGCCCTAAGCGTCAAATAGAGACTCATATGGCTTTTTCTTACAAGTATACAAAACATATACTTGTTTTCTAATGGGAGGAAGACTGCCTGTTCTGGTCAGATTTGTTCACAACATTTAAATTTCCCCACTGTGGGTCGAATAGAGGTTTTTCTGGCCTTATCTTCACTTTTACAAGACAAACAAAACGGCACGTGTTATTGATTAAACCAACACATTAGGTAGCCCAGCTTTACACACATTAGACAAGTGTCGCCCACACAGTCCTGCCCCAGCTGACATCCACTCAGCACTTACTCAATAACTTGGTCCGATGCGTTCTTGAGATACGCGGGGTCGAAGTGAAGGCTCAGGGGCTTCCAGCGCTCCTCTGGCTCCTGGTCCAGGCTGATGTTGAGTGTGGGTGGAGCGGACACCCCGGAGCCAGAGCCGCAGTGGGCGAGAAGCAGACAGCCCCAGCCCCAGCCCAGCAGCAGCGGCGGCGGCATGGTCACTGCGTCCCTCCGCCTGATACTGGAGCTTCCACTTCCTCACTGCTCTTTACATATTCTCATGCTTCCGCGTTTCACAATAAAAACAGGATATAAGGCCGACTCTAGTGTGACAGAACAATCCATGGGTCCTGTCAAAACTGGTAAAATAAAATAATAAAAAAAATTATACATAGAAAAATAGATCTTTAAATGTCTAATCAAATTTTCTTTCCCAATGTATTTTATTTATTTTATTTATTTAATTTTATTTATTTTATTTATTTACATTTGACAGGGACAATGTAGCCACACATATATGGTTACAGCTGGAAAGATTGAAGAAGAACTCAAGAGTGTACTGCTAATGTCCCTACAGTGTACCACATTATACTGAATGAATAATGTAGACAGCCCTAAAACACATATTTACAACAGTGATTTAACTTTAAGACATGCCCACCAATGTAAAGATACCCAGACAGGACATAGACATAGACAAACTCACCCTCACACTCATACATACACACACACACATGATTACAAATGTAAACAGGTGTAAGCCACACCTTGAGCTTTGATGTGAACTCCTTAAAGGAAAAAGTATGATAGTTTTACTTTATTATTTTTATTTCATATTTATTAATTTTCTTTAAAACATTTACAAATCTATTTGCTGTATTGTCGTATTGTCGTATTGTTTGCATTTGAAATTTATCTTTTTAGTAAAGTAAAAAAAAATCTCCCTTCAATCTCAGCTTGGTTCAGGTTCTGTGAGTTCCGACCCCTTCCACTGCATGCAATTTTCATTTGAAAATGGGTTTAATTTACTCAACCCGGAGTTTGACATCTACTAATCCCAGTGTTGGTCATCGTTGCGTAAACAATGCATAAAATAGCACATTCTTTGCTATGTCTTTGGAAGGATTATTTTCCACCACACAATCCCAAGAATATTGAAATATACGTCAAAACTGTAAATCTTTGTTTTTTTTAAAAACTGGCTAACCACGTGTGTTTCTGAAAGTTCACTCTTTTTCTTTCCCTGCTGCTGTTTGGTGGAGACAAAGCTTGGACTCAATAAGGGAAAAAGGATCTCAATTTTATCTTCTCACATAACTATAACAGAACCAACCAGATGCAACTTATGCATATTACTGTTCATGCACAGATCACAGGTCTGTTTTCAAAAACCGTTTATTGTATATCAAAAGAGACTGAAGACAATACGTGTAAAAAGAGCCAACTCTAAACTACATGAATGCATTGTGTAGATCAGCCATTCCCAAACTCAGTAACACCGAGGCCCCCTTAAAAATCTGACGGGTCTGCGTGGCCCCCAAAATAATAACCAAGAAGACAACATTAAGAATAGGCTCTTCTGGTTATTTTATTTTAGGGAAATAGCCTCTGCTACAAACATTGTAATACAAAAATGATTACAGTGGATTATTCAAGTCAAATAATGAACACAAATATTTTAATATTACAAACAAAACATTATAAATGTAACATTAAATGATGATATTTTTTTTTTTTATGACCTCCCGCGGCCCCCCTGCAGTACCCTCGCGGCCCACCAGGGGGCCGCGGACCCCACTTTGGGAGACACTGGTGTAGATGATAACATTTATGAACTTTATTAATAAGTAGTTACTACACAACATTGTTAAGAAATATTGATTAATCATTTATAAAAGGTTTTCTAACACTGACTGTCTGCTGTATTTTACATTTTGAATGATGTAATGGGGCGACATCATCTAGAATTCTGGTTAGAGTTCTGGTTGCTATGGCAGCTCAAAAGTCCTCTGTCTGTGGCCCAGTGGCTCAAAGCCTCAGTTTGTGCTGAGGAGGCCAGAGAGAGGCTGTGTCTGACGGCTCTCTCCAGATGTTTTCTGCCTGTTTTTACTTTTTTCTATGGCAGAAGTGTTTGGCAGTTTGCGTTCAACAGTTGAAGACGTTTGGTAAGTGAAAGATTAACTCATAGTCTCCTCACTACACAACATCAGAAATATTAATGCATCATTTATAATGCATCTATCCACTGAAGGCTGTCAAACTAAGGAGGCACGTGAAAACGCTCTGAACCAAAGCGAAACAGGGAAACTCATACAGTTATTGTAATGGATTGTAAGCATCCTTTTGTCTGAGTCTTTCCAGAGATTGTTTCAATCGTCAATTAAATTTATTTTTGCCCCAAATCACAACAGCAGTCCTCTTGCAGGACCTCACTAAGTTATGGATTCACCAACAACAGATCAGAAAATCAAACACAGCTGACAGTCGGCTTTTCTTATATTTACGGCTCAATAAATCACCAAAATGACAATACAGGGTCATAATTCTCGCCTCAAATGTTGTGATAAGTAATATTTGTATTATTATTGTTCAGAACTTTCATCTTGGAGGTGGCTCCTGTTGATCCCAGAGTGAATGAGCTCCTCTGTCGCCACTACAGTATAACAGCTGCTTCATCTTCCTTCTTGTTGAAAGTATTGAATTCATTCTAACTATACAAGGGGTACGCCGTGTTGAAAATAGTTTTCACTCAAAATAAGAATTATACCAAGCCGCAAAAAGTTCCTATACGTCTGTTTTTCCGCATTACCCTGTCTATTTGATAGGAGACAAAACACTTCCTGTTCTGCAGCCCCCTGCCAAGCGCCCTTTGGACCACGTGATTGCAACCCAGCAATCCCAGCTTTAAAATGAACTGTTCGGTTCAGGCACGAGAGTCGGTCTTCAGGAGCCTCCCAGGAGTCGCTTTCTGCAACCTGAGCACAAAATACAACTGATATCAGGGTTTGATTTGTGTACTATGTTTCTCTAACCTAAATTCTAAACCTTAGCCTCTAACTTGTTTCCCCTATACCCTATCCTCAACCCCCTAACCCCGTAGTGTTTTATTCTTACCCTAACCCACTGCCTGGAAATGAGTTCAGTTGGTAGAGCATTGGCCTTTGAGCCAGAGGGTCTTGGGTTCAAGCCCGACTTTCACCATTGACTCTCACTGATGTTTGCTGTCGTTGTGTCCTTGGCAAGACACTTAACCTCTGGGAACACCAGCCACAGTGGGGCGACTGCGGCTGTAAAGTGCCAAACTGCTGTTGTGTCCTTAGGCAAAACACTTCCCCCCCATTGCCTGGAATGAGTCTGGTGTGATGGTTGGTGGTGGTCGGAGGGGCATTTGGCGCATACTGGTTGCCTCGCTTCTGTCGGTGTGCCCCAGGGCAGCTGTGGCTACTTTTTCACCACCGTGTTTAGAGTGAAAGAATAATGTCATGTAAAGTGTCTTTGAGTGTCCAAAAAGCGCTATATAAAACTGATGCATTATTATTTATTATTATTAAATAATTTTTAAATAATACTGTAACTAGTGCTTTACAAATGCCAGGGTTAGGGATAGAGTTAGGGGTGGGGCTAACTAAACGAATGCTTGATATACGTTTGTTTTTTTAACATTAAACAAAAATCAATCATACTTTCTCCTGTAATGATGAGGACATCTGCGAGAGCGCAAACCTGCAACACACAAATATTACATCTTGGCAGTAGCACGATTTAAGATTAGAAGTGGTAGACCTATAGTAATAGTAGTAGTAATAGCAGTACTAGTGGCAGTAGTGGTAGTTGTGGTCGTAGAGGTAGAAGTACTAGCAACAGCACAAGTGGCAGTAGTTGCAGTAGTAGCAGAAGAATCAGTGGCAGTAGTAGTAGCACCACTTACTGTTGCAGTACAGCACAGTACACAGTAGTAGTAGTAGTAGCACTGCACATCCTCCAACAACAGGTGCTAGTATCTGGACCGAACACTGCAGAGCTACAGGAGCTGGGGAGTACAAATACTTTTACTATAGTTCCTGAGAACAGAATATTTTCAACAGTGCTAATGTTGGGTTAAGCCCAAACATCAAAAAAGCTACACGGAGAAGCTTTGACAGAATCAAAGTACAACTACTTCAGGACTGTAGTCCCAGGGTTAGGTTTGCGTTTGCCTGTACCAGTGGGGGCGGGTCCCAGCTCAAAAGTGGCCAAAATGACGTGCGCTGACGTGCTTGCAATACCACCCCGGGCCGATGGGGGTGGACCCAGAAGAAGAATTAGCCAATGCTAACATATAGCATTGGCAGACCTCTCGAAAACGTCTTTACAGGATGGACCAAAAGTTGGCTCTTGGTCTAAAGCTCCGTTCCACATGTGTGTCAATGCTGAGGGGGGTGAATTTTTTTGGTCCACTCTAGTTTACTTGCTGTGAATTTTTAAAGTCTCTCGTTCAAATGAATGGAATGCGCAGATGCGTTTTTTCACAATTTTCTTGTGGGCGGGACCACTCGCGGCCATTTTGGATTGCTCCAGTAGAGCACTATTTTTGGCCCATTAGTTAGAACGGCGGAGATAGGCGTGACTCTGTCCATTATATACAGTCTATGGCCTGTACTCACCTGAATGGGTGGGGCTTGTGCATGGGGCGGGGCTTGTGCATGGGGCGGGGCTTGTGCATGGGGCGGGGCAATCCCGGTTTGTGCCCTTCACTGTATGCGCGCCCTCTGCCTGGGGCTCTGAGGATTATAATTCACACATTTTAAAATGTTGCTTTCTGGCGGTAAAGTATGTCAATAATTAATAGATCAGATTGCCCTCATTGTTCAGAGTTTGGCAAAAGGAGAAGTGCTCACTAACAGACTTTATGTTGGGTTAGGGTTATGTGTTCAGAGATAGGGTTAGAGTTGTATGGTCCTAGATGTAACAGCCACAAAACAGAAAAAGGCTGCATCCAAACCACCCACGCATCTCAGGAGTTTTTTATCTTCATGACTATCAACATTGTAGATTCACACTGAAGGCCTCAAAACTATGATTTAACTCATGTGGAATTAGCTAAAAAAAAAAAAAAAACGTATGAAACAACTGAAAATATGTCTTATATTCTGGGTTCTTCAAAGTAGCACCTTTTGCTCTGATTACTGCTTCGCACACCCTTGGCAATCTCTTGATGAGCTTCAAGAGGTAGTGACCTGAAATGGTCTTCCAACAGTCTTGAAAGAGTTCCCAGAGATGCTGAGCACTTGTTGGCCCCCAGGTCATCTGGCCCAGCACCCACCACTCTCCTTATTGGTCAAATAGCCCTTACACAGCCTGGGTGTGAATCTACAGTCAATAGTCATGAAAAGAAAGGACACTCATTGAATGAGAAAGTGTGTCCAAACTTTAGGACACAAAAGACCTTTGGTCAATACTGTGTATATAATATATATATGTGTTTATGTATGTATGTAAATCTTACCTAGCTGCAGCATCGTCACCGTTCCAAACTTCACGTCTTTCTTGAAGGACACACAGCTGTAGAACCCAGAGTCAGATTTTGTGAAGGACTTCAGGATCAGAACGTGACTTTTGATGTCCTCCACACTGAAGGAGTCTATAGATTGACCCCTCCTCTTCTCCCCGGGGTTCATAGTGTAAACTGAGACAATGAAATCCACCTCCCCTGTGGACTGCAGGACCCGAAACCAGTCAACAGTGGGGCCTGGGTCTGGGACCGAGCACTTCAAGGGAACCCTGGACCCTTCAGTGACCTGCACCAGCACTGAGCCTGGAGAACATATAATACACGTGTTCAGAGAGGTTAACCAGATCAGTGCAAGGTCAACAAGGGATCGATACAATATTTGAAACATGGCTTTCCTCAGGTATCTGTGATATTGATATTAGCTTGGACAACTATACTGTGTACAGAGGTTCTAAAGGAGGCCATTTACACATTTTACATACAGTATATAGTCTACAATTACATATAATTTGCCCTCAAGAGAAACCATTGCCTTTTTGAAGGGCTTTTTGTTCAAAATAATTGTACACTAAATTCAAAATCCTTTAAATTCATTAAATGTTGTTCATAAAGCCCTGTCAGTGATCACTGCGTTGTATATTATATCTGAAAAATGAAATCTCCTCATCCCCCAAATTCAAGACAAAATTACAGAACAAGGATTACTTTATTTATGCTTTATAGTTACATTTGCTAAACATTCCTATTGCTCCTGCTTCAATTTCTTGATAGAACGAGACCGGATTACTTTACTATCGCATTTTTCGCCATTGCCAAACGCCAACCTTCCCGTTCGACGCAAACTCTTGACGTCACCCCCAACAAACTACGACACCCGCCTTCCGTGCTCGCTGGTTGGTTGTTTGAAATTCAACCGATTGTAATCGCTAACATAGGGATCAGACTCAGACGTTACATGCAGGGAAATGATGATTGAGCGGAGTGTACGGACAGCTAAGGCCAGGCTACGTCTAAATGTAAACAAAAGGCCAAACCAATACCCAACTCCAACGTTCTACTGTTGCAGCGTACTCTTGTAAACGGCACATAAGCAGTTCGTGATATTTGTAATGTGAGCCACACTACACATGAAACGTACTCTGTAGCAGATGTATGTGTAATTTGTTCCATCTACAATTCTTTTAAATTGATCATTTTTCCTACAATGGAATGTGAATAAAGACAACATGGTCCTTACTTGATCATGAATCACCTCTGCATCATGAACCAAATGTGATATTCTGAATGGTAAACACCCGCAAGGTAGATCAAGGCTCAATAAGTAAATCTTGGTTTGATAAAGTCTGGGAAACCCTGTTCTATAGACTGTAAAAAGCAATAACAAAATCAGAGATTCAGAGTCTGCATTAGACAATAAAAATCCTGTTCTTTTGTTGGGGATTGGATTAATATAAGATTTTTGCTTCATCCAATGCATTTTCAAACTATAGGGACATTTAGAACAGGGAAATATGTGTGATGAATCGCAAGTTAACTATGACATGAATGCGATTAATTGCAATTAATTATTTAGTGTTGGACAGCACTGATATACGGCTCACTCCACGCTAAATTGTGGAGTAAGCCACGCTATAATCTCACTTCAAATCGGTTTGTACCTGATAATTCTTTAATACCATAGTTTATAAATTTACATAGGTAATTTCAGATTGGCAGCTCAAAACCAAGAAAAATGGATGGATGCCTTTTTAAAAATGTGTATTGAACTTTTGGGACATAATTGTTACATGCAGGTCATGTCATGTTGGAGGCTTTGTGAATGAAATAATTAACTGGACAGAGAAGACTATTTAATGGTTAATGGTTAGGGATATAACTGTAATCAATTTCTAGTTTCAGGTTATACATTTTTCAAAAAAACGTATTCAATAACTACAGACAAACTGAGTGTTTTGGATGTAACACTCCGCGTCCAATTGTTACGTCCAAAACAGCTGTTTGGAGCGCTGTTGATAGTACGAACGTGAACGAATCTGTGTTTAAGTAGTGCCCCCTTCACTGGACAAACAAGCTGTGGGTGCTGTGAACATTCGGCAGTAGCAGTTGCAGACATTTCAGGACTTTTTCCCATGTATGTGTGTGCGTATATGTCTGTATATACAGACACATGTATATGTATATGTGTGTGTGTGTGTGTGTGTGTGTGTGAATACATACACATATATACATTTATATGTGTATATGTTTATATGTATGTATGTATATATATATATATATTATATATATATAAATATATATATTAGGGCTGTCAAATGTTTGAAAAATGTAATCGAGTTAATTACAGCTTAAAAATTAATTCATCGTATTTAATCGCATTTCGAACTATTGGCAAAATTATGCCATATTTTTCTGTAAATGGTTGTTTGAATGAAAAGATAATTGACATCATAGTGAACATATGCACTGTATCTGTTTATTATAACAATAAATCCACATAAAATGGCATTAACATTATTAACATTCTGTCTTTCTGTAGTAGACACTATTTTTTCAGCTCGACATATTCCACTTCAACTAAAGCCTCATCTTCTTTTTGTTTCTCTGTCTCATAAAGGCTGTGGAAAAACAAGGTACCCCAGCTTTAATTTAGCGAGTGTAGTTTCAAAGCGTGAGGAGACACAGACACATCCTGGCTCCATAGTTCAGCTTCATAGGTGTATTACGCACAGGTTACGCAAAGCACACAACAAGCAGAGAATAGTTCTTTGCATGTATGGATGGTCTTTCACGTTACGGCGTTAAAAGCGTTAATTTTTTTTACGCGATTAATGAAAGAAATTTCAGCCCTAATATATATGTATATATATGTATATATATATATATATATATATATATATATATATATATATATATATATATATATATATATATATATATATATATATATACACATATATATAAAGAGTATATAACTGTGGTACGCATTTGTGGTGCGCCTCATTCCGGACGCTGTAACCCCCTTGTTTAGGTAGACCTTCATCTTCAAAAATGTCAAAACAGTCCTGTAAGCTTTTTGTATGCTTCTCTTCATCAGTTTGTATTTGTCTGTATATTTGTCTGTATACGCCTCATTCAGCAGCTGAATGTCAATGTTCCATTGCAAATGTTGGATTTCAGGATTTTATTTTTAAGACTTATGAGGTTCAAATACAGATATACAGACATATACACAAATGCATATGCATAATACCTGCGTAATACCTGCACTGCTCAAACTAGTAATCTAACTATCACAAAAATAGTCCCACAAATAATTTGAAAAATCCCAGAAATGTTATCTGGTAATAACGATATAATAACGATATAATAACGTATAACGTAATATTCTGAATCCACTAAAATGCTCATGTTAAAGTCACAAATGATGCAGTTACTGAAAATGCTTTGAATCTACTCTCTTTCAGCGATGTTACACCTGACAGTAGTTTCTCCGCTTGTCGGGTAAGCCCAGTTATATAATAATACAACAGATCATTAAAGGGTTTTCCTCGTGCAGTGCTGGTCCAGACGGCATCGAGACCAACTTCATCAAACTTGCCTCTCATGTTATCTGCTTTCCTTTAGCAGATCTTTTCCATTTATAATTTCACTCATGGGAAGTTCCCTTTGCCTGGAAACATACAAAGGTCATCCCCATTCACAAAGGTGGTAACTCTGATCATATGAATAACAATCAACCTGACTCTAGTAATAATTGTATTGTTAAAGTATATGAAAAACTAGTGTATAATCATTCATATCTACCAATAATCTCTCTCCATTTCAACATGGTTTCAGAAAACAATTCTCAACTGCATCTGCATTATCATAATTCACTCACGAGTCGGTGTGTAAGACAGACCTGTAACGAAGGCTTTCTGAAAAATATTACTGCTGTACTATTAAACACGTGTCCTTACACATATGGTGATTACTGTCACAGATTTTATTATTTTTTACTGTTAGATTTTCTAGTTGATCAGAGATCGTGTTAAATTTTATTTATGAAAATGTCTTTAGCATTAGGGGCATTAGGTTTATCCTAAATTAGGATTAAATGAAGGGGTAATTAGGATTAAATGAAGGGGTAATTAGGATTAAATGAAGGGGTAATTAGGATTAAAGTAAATGTATATTAGGATTAAATTCTGATTCAAATATGGGTAAATCACTTCACACTAATTAAAGCCCATAATTTATACTTAATTTACCTTACCCTAATGCTAATTTTGTACCTAATTTCCCTTTAAGAATGTGTGGCCATGACCGACAATTTAATCCTACTTCACCCATGATTTAATCACTAACTTAACTATAATTTTATCCTTATTTAAACCATAACCATTTAAAAAAACACACAAAGTGAAAACTGCGATCATATTCTGAACCCTTTATACATTTTATTTGAACAGTTATTGACTTTATGTTTGTCATAAAACATAATATTAAAATATCAATAATGATAATAAATTGAAAAGAATGTTCACAGTGAGCAGGAGCAGCCGAAGACTTCCACAAGATACTAAAGATAACCTTTATTCGTCCCTCAGTGTGGAAATTTCAGGCAACATGACGGGTTTCCCGTCGGAAACACGAAACATACATAAAACATGTTATACTTAAGGTTAGGGTAGCCCTGAGAATAACCCTTACCCTAAGGCCGAGGTAAACCCTAACCCTAAACACAACATAAACTTTAAGAGGAATTATGCCAAACTCACCTGAGCTCTGGATTCTATTCAAAATGCCAACAACAAACAACACAAACTTCAGCCCCATTTTTGGCTAAGTATTTTTCAGGACTACAAAAGGAAAATGTGAATACTTAAAGTTTGAAGCAGAGAAGCCCAGTCCCTGCTGCTGTTTGTCCAATCCGAGTGGTGCATTCAGAGCTGCACATAAGCCCCGCCTCCACTGCAGATGTTAGGCCTCAGGAATTAGGTTTAATCATGAAGGTCCTGACCTTGTTCAGTCCTTTCAGACCTTTTTCAGACCTAGTTCAGAAATATTTGTATTGCCACAAGAAGTCGCAAACTAGGAAATTGCTTTGGCTCTCAGTGCAAACAAGTCAAAAGTAGATAATAGAGAAGTAGAGAGAATGGAGAATAGAGAAGGTCCAGACCTGGTTCAGTTCTGTTTCAAACTTAGTTCAGACCTCGTATAGACCTGGTTCAGACCCAGTTTAGTCCTGGTTCAGACCCCCCTTCTCACACCCTCACCTCATCCCTGTGCCCCCCATGTGTCTGTGTGGTTTTATCTCTGCTCTCGATCTCAATCGCTATCGTTCACTTCAGATGTTTGTGGTGAAGAAATGCAGGAGTTTACAGTTACCTCTGTTTGAGACACGTCTGGTACAGTTACCTCGGTTTGAGACACGTCTGGTACGGTTACCTCTGTTTGAGACACCTTTGGTCTGCTTTGAAACAGTGTAAAAGTGATGAAATAATTACTGTCAATTACATGGAGCAGCCTATTACTGAAGAAATACTGCATTGTAATCAGTGAGACTATCATCAAGTCTGTTCAGAAAAGGTGTTTGACAAAATGCCAATCAAAGCTGGACACCTAACGTTCAAACGACACAATACAGTTTTTCTCAGTCGCGTTGGTGCATTTCTCACATCAGACTTAAAGTTCTCAAAACTATTAGTTCGACCTCCACAACATTGAGTCATTGGTGCACATCACCGTAGCAGTTTCTCCTAACACATTACAAATGCTTTTGCACGTGTATCAGTTACTTTCATACCATTTTCTGCGGTTTTATAACATTATCATTTGCTTCTGTCCTGTCAGTCAAAATGAAACATACTTATGACTTCTGAATAGTCTTTCACTATGAAACCAATAGTCCTCATTTCATCGCTTTGGTATCACATACAAAATTGCTGAACTAGTTCTCACAAGTATTTGTCAAGCTAATTTCATACATTTCTTAATCTTTTTTTTCCTGTAAATCTTTCCTAAATTGAACAATTTCTCTCATGTCAATTTCAGCTTCACTCATGAGGTGTGTGTTTCATTGTTTACATTTGTCACAGTTCTACCATAATGATATTCTGTATGTTTGTTCTATGTATATACATGTACAGTATGTGACTGTATTTTTGTTGCACAATGTTGTAGAATTACAAGGAGCACAAACAGTAAATATGTGAAAGACATACAGTACACATACATACATATACACACATACAGTACATACATACATATACAGTGCCTTGCGAAAGTATTCCAACATTTTGCCACATTTCAGGCTTCAGACATAAAGATATAAAAAATAATTTTTTTGTCAAGAATCAACAACAAGTGGGACACAATCGTGAAGTGGAACAAAATTTATTGGATAATTTAAACTTTTTTAACAAATAAAAAACTGAAAAGTGGGGCGTGCAATATTATTCGGCCCCCTTGCGCTAATACTTTGTGGCGCCACCTTTTGCTGCAATTACAGCTGCAAGTCGCTTGGGGTATGTTTCTATCAGTTTTGCACATCGAGAGACTGGAATTCTTGCCCATTCTTCCTTGCAAAACAGCTCGAGCTCAGTGAGGTTGGATGGAGAGCGTTTGTGAACAGCAGTCTTCAGCTCTTTCCACAGATTCTCGATTGGATTCAGGTCTGGACTTTGACTTGGCCATTCTAACACCTGGATACGTCTATTTGTGAACCATTCCATTGTAGATTTGGCTTTATGTTTTGGATCATTGTCCTGTTGGAAGATAAATCTCCGTCCCAGTCTCTGGTCTTTTGCAGACTCCAACAGGTTTTCTTCCAGAATGGTCCTGTATTTGGCTCCATCCATCTTCCCATCAATTTTAGCTATCTTCCCTGTCCCTGCTGAAGAAAAGCAGGCCCAAACCATGATGCTGCCACCACCATGTTTGACAGTGGGGATGGTGTCTTCAGGGTGATGAGCTGTGTTGCTTTTACGCCAAACATATCGTTTTGCATTATGGCCAAAAAGTTCGATTTTGGTTTCATCTGACCAGAGCACCTTCTTCCACATGTTTGGTGTGTCTCCCAGGTGGTTTGTGGCAAACTTTAAACGAGACTTTTTATGGATATCTTTGAGAAATGGCGTTCCACTCTTCCATAAAGGCCAGATTTGTGCAGTGCACGACTGATTGTTGTCCTATGGACAGACTCTCCCACCTCAGCTGTAGTTATCTGCAGTTCATCCAGAGTGATCATGGGCCTCTTGACTGCATCTCTGATCAGTCTTCTCCTTGTTTGAGATGAAAGTTTGGAGGGACGGCCGGGTCTTGGTAGATTTGCAGTGGTCTGATTCTCCTTCCATTTCAATATAATTGCTTGCACAGTGCTCCTTGAGATGTTTAAAGCTTGGGAAATCTTTTTGTATCCAAATCCGGCTTTAAACTTCTCCACAACAGTATCTCGGACCTGCCTGGTGTGTTCCTTTGTCTTCATGGTTCTCTCTGCGCTTTAAACAGTTCACTTTGGAGAGACCCAAGAGGGAAAATGCAGTTAGAAGTTTGTTGATTGAGTATGTTTGGCGCCCTAGGCCCGGGAGAGATGCTGATGAGTGCGGCGCTTGCTCGCGCGCATAATCCCCCCCCGGGGCCTAGGCACTGGTGACAGCAGGAGGCAGGCACGCTTCGATGAGAGAAGGAGGAGGTGGGGCGGCGGAGGCTTTGCAAACTTCAGAAGGCCGGGAAAGTGGGCGTCTCCGGCTTTTAACTTGCTGTCCTGGTGGTTATTGGTGGATTAGATGTGGGCGTTTTGCTGGTGTAATGAGTAGAGGATGAGCAGGCTTGTAGATCTGGCAGCAGTGGCCGGGTCTACCACAGTGAACTTTCGCGAAGAGCTTCATTTCACTTTGGAGAGACCCAAGAGGGAAAATGCAGTTAGAAGTTTGTTGATTGAGTATGTTTGGCGCCCTAGGCCCGGGAGAGATGCTGATGAGTGCGGCGCTTGCTCGCGCGCATAATCCCCAAAAACGGGCAGAGTTATCTTTGCGCGCCGGGACGTGAGCGCTCGCTTCACGATCAACCGGACGCTGCCTGGGACGTGAGCGCTCGCATCACGATCGATACCAGACGCTGTAGCAGAGTTGTCTTTGAGCGCCGGGACGTGAGCGCTCGCATCACGATCAACCGGACGCTGTCTGGGACGTGAGCGCTCGCATCACGATCGGTACCAGACGCTGCGGTGAAGTTATCTTTAAGCGCCGGGACGTGAGCGCTCGCATCACGATCAACCGGACGCTGCCTGGGACGTGAGCGCTCGCATCACGATCGATACCAGACGCTGCAGTGGAGTTATCTTTAAGCGCCGGGACGTGAGCGCTCGCATCACGATCAACCGGACGCTGCCTGGGACGTGAGCGCTCGCATCACGATCGATACCAGACGCTGTAGCAGAGTTATCTTTGAGCGCCGGGACGTGAGCGCTCGCATCACGATCAACCGGACGCTGCCTGGGACGTGAGCGCTCGCATCACGATCGATACCAGACGCTGTAGCAGAGTTATCTTTAAGCGCCGGGACGTGAGCGCTCGCTTCACGATCAACCGGACGCTGCCTGGGACGTGAGCGCTCGCATCACGATCGATACCAGACGCTGTAGCAGAGTTGTCTTTAAGCGCCGGGACGTGAGCGCTCGCATCACGATCAACCGGACGCTGTCTGGGACGTGAGCGCTCGCATCACGATCGGTACCAGA